GGGGGGATATACAGTCTGTCGAACAGCTGTATTTTTGCTACCCTATTTTCTTCTCTCAATATCGTGCCTTCCTCATACTAGCTATCTTGCCCATCAATCATGCCACTATCCTAAGGCAGCTGGGCTGTTATGATCCTGGCCAATTTCGAGATACACATTCTTCAGATAGTACAATGCCGTCCAATTGCAGAAAGAAATGAATGAACTTGAGAGGAGAGAGAAGGTTAGAAGAAGAAGAAGAAGTAAGAAAGAAGAAGAAGATGATGTACACCAGCATAGACAAATGACAAAGCTCTGCTTCTTCGCCCAACTCTCTCTTCCTCCTTATCTCCTCCTCTCTTATTCACACAAGAAATAATAATACAATGTTGAATGGCTGAACCAGAATCAATGTCCGAATGCCTCTTCTACTGCTGGTATCACTTGAGGTCCACCATAGCCATGGCCGCCTCCCTCTCTCTTCACTCTCATAGGCCGAGGCTATGGCGGACTACTTGGGCCGCCCTGCTGTGCGAAGGACAACGCAAAGCAGCTATGGCTGCTCTAGCTCAGGCCGCCATGCCTGACTCTGCCTCAAAGCTTCTTGGTGTAGCTCGCCCCAGCTGGGGTCTCCCTGCTGCACCGCCCACCAAGGTGATGAAGATGGCTGCCACCATAGCCAGGTAAGTACCTCTGGCGCGCCTCCCCCTTCCTGTCCTTCTTCCTCCTCCTAGTCCTTGCTTCTTCCCCAGCAGCGCTGCTCCAAGCTAGCGCTGCTCCAGCCAGCGCTCCAACCAGTGTGTCGCCAAACTTGCACACCAACAATGAGGCTGGGCTCTTCGCCCGGCCTGGAGATATAGCGGCCTGCTTGCTTCTTGGGCGGTGACTTCCAGGCTGCTCGGCCTTCCAAGCAACTGGTACCTCCTCCCTTTCGGAGGGAAACATCATTGCAGACTCTGATATTGCCAGTACAGGCCCTAGACTCAGACTGGTACCCGCCTAGACCTAGCCTACAACTACTGGGCCTCTAAAAATGCCACTTTTGTCTTCTTCTGCTCGGCCTCCAGTACCCGGTACAACTACCGCTTCAGGGTGTGGTACCGGCCTACCTGCTACTTGAGTATTTCCCCGCTGCTTCAAGTGCTGCGGGCCTCTTACCCCGCAACTTGAGTGTTTTTCCCCCGCTGCAATCCTCAATGCCACGGCCACGGTAAGTACCGGCCCTGAGGGCCCAATGAACGAACAAGTGCCCTTGTGGGCCACACACACACTCAAGCCAACCAGCACTCAGACAGACATGCAGTCCAGCAAGCGTGCACACACACAGACTTAGACAACTTAGGAGCAAGCGGGAAACTCAACAAGGCATTCAGTCCATGAGAAAAACTCAGAAATCAGCCGTGTGTTTCAGTCCATGTTTGGTCGGGTCATCACAGGGCGAACAATCTCCCATCCCAAGGCAACCCAGCGCAGCCACCCGAGGTAACTCGGTACCAGACAGCAGAGTTATGGGTCTACCCCAGTACTACCCCAGCTAAGCACTATGGCGCGGGAATGGAGCTTAAATTCACTAACAACAGCTAAGCTATTCTACGGCTATGGATCCACACCTACTTCTCCCTGCTCAGTGCGGGGAGAAGTAACCAAGCTCCGTGGGCCGGAAGGAGCCAAATACGTCCATAATCATCCAGGAGGCCCAACTCAACAATCTCTGCTGGTGAACCCGAAGCATTCCCCCAGGAGGCCATGGAGATGGAAAGGATGACGACGTTGGGAATCGAACCGACAACCTCCTGAGTGCCACTTACGTGCTCAACCAACTGAGCTAGCCCGCTTGGTGGCATTCCAAGTGTTCTTAGTTCATGGCTTTTGTGTGTTAGTGGTGACCTCAAGGACAGACATCCCGGGGCTTAGTTCTGCTAGCAGCCAGGGAGGATCAAATTCGATCAATGTAGAGTATGCATTACATAGATCATGCTGTTTAGCTGTTGAAGTTTGTCTTGCATAGCAGATCTTATGACCCCAAGTGGATAAAGACCGGCTGGCTCCAAGTAGCATGCGCGAATGTTGTAAACAAAGAAAATAAAAATAAAATTGCATCTACATCTACATCTACATCTACACCTACTATAAGAACTGCTAAATGTCATATCTCACGGCCTGAATCGCAGGCCGGTAACGCGCCACGGACGGCCCAGATCGCAGGCCGATCAGAAAGTTTTCTGATCGGCCTGCGATCTGGGCCGTCCGTGGCGCGTTACCGGCCTGCGATTCGGGCCGTGCGATATCGGATTCTGCCGGCTGCTACCGGAAGCGCCGAACTGCAGGCCCACCCGGTTTTTTTCTCCGCGGTCCACCCCTGAAGCGGCCCACCCCTCCAATCGCCCGCCCATCTGCCCGTTTTTCTATTCGCGGCCCGACCGTTTTTGTATTCACTGCCTGCCCGTTTTTCTATTCGCGGCCCACCCCTCCAATCGCCTGCCCACCCCTCCAATCGCCCGCCCACCAGTTGGTACCGGAAGCGCCGAATAGCCCGTGCGTGCTCCGTGGTCGGTGCGCGTGTGCGTGCTCTGAGTCGGTGCTCGTGTGCTCTACGTGCGTGCTCGGTGGTCAGTGCGCGAGTGCTCTGAGTCGGTGCGGGTGTGCTCTACGTGCGTGCTCAGTGGTGGTGCTCTACGTGCTCGGCGGTCGGTGCTACGTGCGCATGTGCTCTACGTGCATGATCCGCGCTTTTGGTGCTCTACGTGAACTTGGTGCATTATCGTGGATCCGTGTTTTTCGTGCTCATCGCGAACTTGGTGCATGATCGTGGATCCGTGCTTTAGGCGCTCTACGTGAACTCGGTGCATGATCGTGGATCCGTGCTTTTGGTGCTCATCGTGAACTTTCTTTAGGTGCTCTACGTGAACTCGGTGCATGATCGTGGATCCGTGCTTTTGGTGCTCATCGTGAACTTGGTATATGATCGTGGATCCGTGCTTTTTGTGCTCATCGTGGATCTGTGCTCTCTCTCTCTCTCTCTCTCTCTCTCTCTCTC